CCTAGAGATGTCCAAAGTAGTGCATTTTGGACATCCTATGGACGTCCGATGGACATCCGACGGACCTTAGGTGGACGTACTATGGACGTCCGAATGTCCAGATGCGACCGTCCATCGGACATCCTATGGACGTCCATGTGCTATCTGGGAAATGTCTGCGTAAATAACCTTATTATTGGATGTCCAAACGACGTCCTTGAGACGTATTTTAGACATCCTTCGACATAAACGGGACGTCGACATAAACGGGACTTTTCAAGACATATTTCGGACATCCAAAGGACGTCGAATTGTTGCATGGGTATCGACACTTTGTCCCAATCGAATTGATGGTTGAGTTCTAATATATGTTGTGATATGACTGAATGTTTAGATGGATCTAATTTAATGTTGTTAGTGTGTTCTTTTATTCTTGTCTGTAATTTTCTTTTCGTTTGTCCAACATACGTTGCTTCACAATTTGCGCATGGGATTTTGTATACTACGTTATTCTTATTTAATTTGTTTGTCTTGTCTTTTATAGCGTTAATGAATCTGTTCATTTTGTTAATGACTCTGAAACCTAATATGAACTTCGATTTATCTATTAGAGGTTTTATTAAGTTTTGGACGGAACTAAGGAATGGTAGTACTAATAATTTTTTCGCAGGAGTTTCGTTCGCTGGAGTTTCCTCCGAATCGTCATTTATGTTCGTAATATTGTTCTGTCTATGCTTTATTGTTTTAATTCTATTGTTAATTTGATTAAAAATAAGTTGGAGGGGATATCCGTTGTCGAGTAATATTTTTATGCAGATGTCAAGATTTTTCGCATGATATATTGGATGTGACAATAGTAATGCCCTGTCTATCAAGTTGTAAAGTGTGCCTATTTTATGATTCATCGGATGATTAGAATAATACGATAATAGTCTCCCTGAAAAGGTTGGTTTATGATACCAATCGATTTGGATTTTGTTTTCGACTATTTCTAGTTGAAGTTCTAAGAAGCTAATCTTTCTATTGGTTTCTTTTTCAATTGTAAATTGTAGCCTCTCATGGTAACCATTAAACTTGGATAAGATGTTGTTAATTAAAGAATATGGAGCTGCTAACAATATGTCGTCCACATATGTATAATATTATAGAATATAATTGAACGTTCAAACTCGATAAGTATTTGTTCTTCTAGATCTCTCATTACTATGTCAGCCATGATAGGCGAGAGAGGGAAACCCATCGGTGTACCATATGTTTGTTTATATGTATACATACCGCCCACCAATTAATGAAGATTAATTTTTTATGGTATTGAATCGCTTGTCGGTAGTTTGCACAGCCTATTTATTGCTCGCTTGAGATATCCGCGGTTGCGGTTTTCAGAGTTACAACTCGAACCTTGTCGTCGATACCCTTATGGGTTTCGATTACCCTTCCTATTCTCCATTTCAACGGTGGCAAATTGGGCTCTTGTATCAGAACAATGTCATTAATCGCGATATTCGGTTTTTCTATTTTCCATTTAATTTTACCCTGCAGCGAAGTTAAATATTCCGCACTCCAACGTCGCCAAAAATCTTGCGATAATTTTTGAGATAATTGCCAACGATCTAATCTGTTTATCGGTACGTCGTTTAGATCTACTTCCGGAATGGCTGTTAATGATTCGCCGACAAGAAAATGACCCGGAGTCAATGGTTGTAAGTCTGTGGGAGTGGACGGTAGCTGACATACAGGGTGCTACGCAACATTTTGGTTTCCGGTCATGGGAAGGTAGAGGGGACTAAGACAAACAGAAAAGTCCTGTACTATTTTGCGCTTGGACGAATAGTTATCGAGATACGAAATTTTAAAAATCGCCGTATTAGCCCAACCTACTGGCGAATGTAAGCGCGCGGTGAGATGCGTCGCGAGGCGGTGTGCGGCGAGGAATAGAATGGCGGTGCGGGGCGAGGAGTAGGGAGGCGAGACGCGCCGCTGCACCAGTGTTCCCAGCCGTGAACGTTAGCACGGACGGTGCCGCGGCGGTGGGGATGGAGTGGGG